GCGAAGCCCCCTCCCCGGGGAGGCGGGGTCTGAGCGGGCTCCAGGCCGGGAGCCGCGGGGGCGGGAAGGATGCATCAGAAGCTGCTGAAGAGCGCGCACTACATCGAACTGGGCAGCTATCAGTACTGGCCGGTCCTGGTGCCCCGCGGCATCCGCCTCTACACCTACGAGCAGATCCCCGTGTCCCTCAAGGACAACCCGTACATCACCGACGGCTACCGGGCCTACCTGCCCTCCAGGCTGTGCATCAAAAGGTACGATCCAGCCGCTCTGCCTGGCGCCCTTCTGCCTTGGTCCCCCGCTGTCTCTGCTTCTCCCCGCGCCCATCTTTCTCTAGCCGCCCCATATTTTCACTCCTGTCTCCCCTCGGGGTGCTTGATCCGCGGCACGATCGTGATAGTAACAGTGATCCTAATTGCCAACTCTCCTGTGGGCTTCGATGCTTACAAAGGGCTTTTACATCCTTTCTTCCTTAGGTGCCCTTTGGGGATACATGTTGGAATCGACCCCACTGACAAGTGTTTGATCATTACTTGCCCTGTGCACACCTAAGCTTTGTGTGTGATTAGAGCAGCCCTATGGGAATTCTGGTGCTTTGGGCTGGCTAAATGAAACAGTTCACTCTGCCTTACATATATATTTAGAAAGCCCTCATTCATTCATTTAGCAGATCTTTATAGAGCCTCTGCTGAGCACTAAGTACGGTACCAGATCCTGCGGTAAAGAGCAGACGTGGCCCTTGTTCTCTTGAAAGTGCTACAGTTTGGCCTGAGTGACAAACATTAGGTACCCATTACATAATGGCCATTGTGGAAAATGCTGTGTAGGAAAAAACGCTGTAGCCAAGAGAACTGTAACGGAGCACCCAGCATCCGCTATGGCTCCTTATAAGATCTCTAAGAAAAGAAATTTATTTTTTGTTTGCAATTTTTTAAAACCAGGTTTTTTTTTTTCGAAAGCCTGTGTTTTAAAAAATCTGAAAAATTGCTGTTCTGGGTTTTAAAATGGCTTTCTGCCAAAACTCATTGTGTGTACTAAAATACAGAACCCACTTCGGTAGAATTAAGACACAGATGGTTAGCTATGGGTCACTATAGTAGCAAATCCCACTCTTAGAATGTAGGTGTCGAACCGGTCAGGTAGCATCCACATGCCTGATTCTTGATTTTCTTTGCAGCATGGTCTTTTCCCATCCTTATTTCCTTTTGTCCTGCTTTGTGACATGCAATCACAAGACAACGTCACCATGCATGCTTGTGGCTTGAATGGTCGGCCAACAGGACTTCACAGTCTGAATCCCAATCACTACATCACTCTTCAGTGCCTCCTGTGCATGAGTAATTGCACAAGAAATCAGAGCTTTCAGTGATTTCTGTGAAGAAATCAGTGGAAGTGTGGAGTTCACACGGATAGCTCAGGCAATGAATTGCTTTACATGCTTTATACCCATCTAGCTGCAGACCCCCACGTTCTAAATCACATGGAGTGAGAAATGAACAATGAAGTATTACATCTTGAGTTCTTGAGTCAAAAAGACTTGAATATTCACCTCTGCCACTTAATTGCTGTGCCATCTTGTGCAAAAGTCAACCTCTTTGGGTCTTATTTTCTTCTCGTAAAAATGAAGGTAATTACAATATTTGGTTCAAGGGATACTATCCGATGAGATTCTGTATGTACAATACTACACAGGGTCTGGTACCTAATAAGCCCTCAATAAACGGTTGCAGTTATCAATGATTTTGAACCAATGGTGGTAATGAAGATGATTATTAATTTCCAGGCTGAACAGAGTATGGAGTGTCTAACTTGAAGCAAAAGAGTAGATCTTCTACTGGGAATAATTTCCAAGTGCTCTTCCTGCCAGCTTGATCTTTTCCAGGTTCAGCCTTTGCCCTCTTTTCTTTCAGCTTTCACGAGTGTTCAAGCCAGAATTTTTGACCCAAGGGGAAATTTTATATATTCTCATAGTTTCCCCACTATTTTAATAGTTGAAAAAAAACAGGTAGATTGTATTCAGTTAATCAGTTTATAATGGGTTTCACAAATGAAAAGTTCTAAGGCAATAGGCAGGGGATAATACTATTATCAAAAACAATCCTGTATTTAGATTTTTTTAGAACATCCTGCACCCTCCCCATTATAAGTAGCTCTTATATTTGATATTGTACAAAATAAACTTTTAGTTCCATGACACAAGATTAACTTTATTCTTGATCATTTGATGGCTGGAGACCTTGCTGTGTTTATCACTTGATAAACAAAAGTGAGAACCACTGTGACTGCTGCAAATTCAGCTGAATTATGCATTACTTTAAGCAAAACAGTTAGATTTTGCTAGACAAAGGCAAGAGTATTTTAATCTTTAGTTATGACATCACCTCCCTGTAAATCAGATGAGCACTCCACATCTGAAAATCATTTCACAAAATTAAGAAAGTAGCTGGAAGTTGTAGCAGCATCTGATCCAGTCCTTTATTTTACAGATGAAGAACATGAAGCCCAGAAAGGGTATTTGACTTGCTCATGATTGCAGAACTACTTTGGGGCCCATGTGGCGAGGAGACATAGCCTCTTAATGTCTAGTGGAGATAGTGTAGTCCTTCACCATCCTGTGCTGCTGAAACCACTTAGTAGTCCGGGCATTTAAAAAAAATACAACCCATATTAAAAGTAGCCCACTGTTTCTAAAGAAGATAAACTCATGCTACGGGGAAGCTAGTTTGATTTCAGAATGTCCACAGCGAAGTTGTTCCAGCATTCCTATCTTAAAGAACTTTTTCAGTGGATCAAATGGTATTGATTCCAATTCTCTTACGTCTATTTAACTGTGTATCTGTTAGTGAGTATTATGCCTAACTGCACTGAGCAGCTTTTCAGATACCTGTTATTAACAGTATTATGGCTATGATCCAGTTTTTACCTAAACAATCATTTCTATAGACATTTAGTAAATAATCTAAAACAGACACTGCTTAGAAAAATGGTGCTCTAAAGATGGTCGAGGAGTTAATATGCAGAGGATGTGGTGGAATTTATATGTCACTAATTAAATAGAAGGAAGAAAATATATAATAAAATTCAGCACAGAAAAAGCTCTGAAGTCCAGAATTGGTGAAGATGTGGCAAAAATTTAAAGAATAATTAAATTAAATGTTATGACACAGAGTGGCACAGATAGAGTTAAATCTTTAAAGGAACAAGTGTTGGGTAACTTCCCAAATTTGTCCCTAACCTTTGAATGCTAACCATAAGTGAAACAGTGTGAATCTGAGTTGTGTATTTGTTTACTTTCCAGCTTGTTTATTTTATCTAATGAGACGGTAAACATCTGGAGTCATTTGCTGGGTTTCTTTCTCTTCTTCACTCTGGGAATATATGACATGACATCTGTATTACCTTCGGCAAGTGCGTCCAGAGAAGATTTTGTAATTTGTTCTATATGTCTCTTCTGCTTCCAGGTGAGTTGTTTCACAAATTCCATTACTGGGAAAGAGAACTTTTGTCAGGCAGGCAATGACAGATGGCTTAAGTTCAGACCCACCCCTTCAAAGACCCCCAGAACTGACATGTTCTGTTTATTAGCTCATTTGCTTTCATAACATAAGCAACTAAAAAATGTTTACAGATATTTGGATATTGTTATTAGAATATATTTGAAGTTAATACTAAAATTATTTCCTCTTATCTTTTTAGACATCTCTACTCTAAGATTAAAACTTGGCTGAGAATGTCTGTACTCGTTCTTTGATCTTTTAAGTAGATCACTGGTGTCTATCTAAAACCCGTTTTTCAAGATTTCTTATCTTTTTCCTATTTATATCTGTGATTTTTTGCATGTGTTATTTCCATACTACCTTTATTTTAGATCTTGTTTTACTGGTATGGATCTTTAGCTGTATTGTTTTAATGTTAATTTCCTTTCGCCCTTTTATAGTTTCATATACTTTTTAGTTTCTATTCCTTTCCACCTTTGATTAGTTCCATTGGCATTTGGATTTTTTTCAAGGACCAGTAAAAACACTTTTAAAAGTTTCATTTAGTAGTCTTTCAAATAGAATATTTTAAAGCAGAAAACAAATACATAGTCCTGTTGACATCTTTTTAAAAATTTTTTTTGATACAAGGAGTACAGACAAACATAAAAAGGAAAAGTTACCGTCCCTTTCCTCCTCACATTCAGACCCTTATTCCCTGCAGTCACACTGCTGTTGCTTAGTCCAGGGGTGAACCTGTAAATCAACCATACAGAGAATGTTTTCATAGCATCATGAAATTTCAGACCTCCATAATTTTATTCAAATTAAAACTTTGCGCCTAAAGGAACACGTCAAAAATATTTCCATCTTTCTTTCTAATTCGTTTCTGGAATAAAATTTAAATTTATTTGAGGAAAATACACAATATCTTGTGTTATTAGGAAAAAAAATTGTAATACTTTTTAAACCTCTTTCTGAGCTTTACTTTTTGTGCTGATTAGAACCAAAAGATCTCTTAGAATCTATCTCCAGTTTTATAAGGGAAATAAATCCATTCCTTTATAGTAAAATTTTTAGATATATGTTAATACAGACTAAGATACTCTTTTCTCTGTGTGTATATTACTGAGGATTGAACCCAGAGGTTCCCAGGCAGAACATGAACTTGCAGTCCTCTTGTCTAATAAGACATTCTTAATAATCATTAACAAGTAAAAACTGGTTTGTACTCTACTGAGTTATGTAGATACCATCTACTTGGAGATTCTCCTTTTTTTTTTTTTTTCCTTCTACATTTAGGCCTGTCCTTTTCCTTTTACCACCTACCACAGATGATACTAGTTCAGAGAATACATATTAATTTCCACTTTGGACTAAGAATGTATTGTAAAATTAAAAGGGTTATGTAGTTATTATAACTGCGCAGGACGAAACAGGCCCAAAGTGTTAAAGTGACCTCTGCAGGACTATTCAGGCAAACATTAGGATCCTATTCTCTTAACTGCTACAGTCAGGCTCTTTCTCTTACATGCTGTACAACTTGCTGTGGACGAATGAACACATTTTCCCTACTTAAGACCATTTTTGGAATGGGGACGTAGCTCAGTGGCACCATACCTGTCTGGCAAGTGCAAGGTATTGGGTTCAAACTCCAGTACCAGAAAATTAAAAAAAAAACACTTTTCTTTTTACTGTTATGAAACTATAACTACTTTACCCAAGTTTTCCAAATTCTTAGGGCAGCAGGTAGCCTGGTAAACCATAAATGTGTAAATATTAGTTTACATTTAATTTTTAAGAGACAAGACATTTTTTTCTCCTGCCCATTCTATGTGCTAATACTTTCTTCCCAACCAAGTTAGTAGAGTATAATCTGAATAATAGACTGTGAGTTGGGGCTTTGAACCTTTTCACAGGTTATTTATTTTAGAGAAGAGTAGAGTTCTGTTAATACACAGTTCAGTTCAATAAATAGTTACTGATTACCTCCTACATATTTTCAGGCCAGAGCCTAATCAGCAATAATGTAGTGCTAAACAGAACTAGCATGTCACGAAGATCAAGTCATCCATGTAGGCGAGCAGAAGAGGGAGTGAGGCAAGACACTAGCAGAAAAAACAAGTGGCCAGAAGAAAAGAGAAAGAAATTCTTCAAGAATTCTAATTTCTTTAAGTAGAAAGAAATAGCACATTCTGGACCTGCAAGCATGAGTCTTTATGGTGAATCCTGGGAGAACAGAAAGATAGGCGGAGGCCAGGTCAGGAAGTACTCTGCTGTGCCAGTGAGCTTAGATGTGGGATCCAGTACTGTAGTTACCTGCCTACCTTGGCAGAGTAACTTACTCCATAGGAAGAAACTCCAATATAACAACTCACAAGACTTTATTTAAGAAACTATAGCAATAACACACTTTTTTCTAAATGTGGCATAGTAAATATAGGTTAACTTATTAAGAGCATAGGATTGTCTATTAACATTATTTTCCCTTCCTGTTGATGTCATTGTTTTTCTCTCTCCTTTTTTACTTTCCTTTTCATAATGAAATGAGCTTTATTATTATTTCTTATTGTTAACTATATACTCATGGAGACATCCAAGCAAACAAAAATTTATGGAAGAAAGTAAAAGTCAATTGAAATTCTGCTTCCCAGAGGTAACCACAACTGACTTTTGGGTTGAAATTCATCGAAACACTTGCACGTGCTTGACTACCTCACACCTGCATACATACTTGATCATCTACGTGTCTGCTTCAAGCTAGACAACGTCTGCTTGCTATTTCATGACTGGATCCTGTATCATTGAATCCTGTGACAGTGAGATCTTTCTTTCCCTGTTGGAATGTACACCATGTACTCTCCAGATTTATGGCATTTAAGCCCAGGGATAAACTAAGATAACAATCAGTCTTCTTAGAAGTTTGTCTAATGGGACCAGTATATTCTGATTTTTAGCCTAGTAGCCAAAGAGCCGCTGACCAATAACGATTTAAGATAGATGAAGAAATAGAAGTATGACTAAGTACACTGCCGTTAAATATTGATGTTAAGTATGTGGAAACTGGTTAGGCTTGTTTAATGAACAAAATGTAAAATAGCTCGATTTCCATTTAGCAGTTGCTTACAAAATATTAATCAGTTGAGTCTACTTCATATTGTTTACTGCCCCATTTCTCCACCTCCTTTTTTTTTGTTTGTTTTTGTTTGTTTGTTTGTTTGTTTTTGTTTTTTGAGACAGGGTCTCACTATGTAGTTGAGACTGGTCTGGAACTCACCACGTAGCCCAGGCTGGTCTCCAACTCACAGCGATCCTCAGTGCCTCAGCCTCCCACGTGCTGGAATTACAGGTGTGCGCCACCACACCCAGCTCTCCACCTCCTTTGTCACTGGCTTACTATAGCTCTTGTCCTTGCTCCACAGGGCCATTTCTGTAACCTTTCACCTCAGCCTGTCTAGTCTACATCTTTAGAAGGGTACCTTAAAATCTTCAGTACTATCATACCTGGCCATTAAAACTGAAGTTAAAACCTTTTGATGTATGAGATATGTATGAAGAAAGACACATGACATTCTTTAATTATTCTGTATTTTTTATTGTGCTGCTTTTCTTTGTAGACACTTCCCTACCCACCCATCCCCCGTAAACCTGTACACACCATTTTTCTGTCCCTAATGAATGCTAGCTGAACTTTCAAAGCCATCTCAGGTGACAGCCCTTCTGTGATGCTCTTTCCTTCCCACACTGTCACCCCTAGCCTTCCACATATACTCCCAGCATGTATCCTCCCTCCTCGATTTTCTAATTATGCTTTGCACTGACCATCTCTAGGACTTCTTACAGCACTTTTTGTTCACTTGTTTCTCAGAGGTCTCTGAGTAGAGATTTCATCTTTGTATCCTGCAATGCAGGACACACAGCAGGTAGTTACTGGCTGAAGGGAATCTGCCATACAAGCCTTTTCAATGGTCAGAACAAGTGATTGGCTCAGTTTAGTTTGCTCTTCAATGTGGCAGCCATATAAAGTCAGTCTTGATTAATATTTTCATGGAGAAAATAAAACCATGTTTATCTTACAACTTAAAAGCAAATTCTAGCATATATCTCATATGTACATGAAAAAGTCCTAGGTGAAGAAAGCAAATTGAGGAACCGAATGTATAGTATGAGACCATTTGATTAATGTTTAAATGTGTTTGCTGACTTCCCCCTTCACCCCCCATACTGGGGATTGAACTCAGGACCTTGGCACCTGCCAGACAGGCGCAGCACCACTGAGCTACATCCCCGGCCCTGCTGACCTATATTATAGACGTTGACTTACATGCTGAAAATATCTGGAAGGACACAACAGTTCTCATCACTGGCTACCTCAGCAATAGATTGAATGGGGGGGACATCAGTCATGCCGGAATTGCTATAATTTCTTTGTTTCACCTTGTTAAGATTTGTTTTTATTTCCCATAGGTCTGTATGCTTTGTTCTGTGGGCTATCATCTTTTTTCTTGCCATCGGTCAGAAAAAACCTGTCGAAGATGGATGGCATTAGATTATGCAGGAATTTCTGTTGGAATACTGGGCTGCTATGTCTCAGGAGTGTTTTATGCCTTTTATTGTAATAATGTAAGTAACTGAAAACATTTCACCTCATTCATTCTCATCTTCTCTCTTTCTCTTTGTGGTACAGAGATTAAACCCAGAGCCTCTCCCATACTGGGCAAGTGCTCTACCCCTGAGCTATTCCCTCCCCCAGCCCAAAATACTTCACATTGTACCTTTCATATAGGTGTTGGGATTTTTGCAGTGGTTCCATTGAATTTCTGAATAAGTACATAATTAGCTAACAGAAACATAAGAGTCATGTATATGCATAAACCTAGTTTTTCAAATGGCCCTTGTGATTTCTAAAATCTGTTATCAGTTTTGTATTTATTTTACTAATTTTTTTCATTGAAAATAGTTATTTACAAAACTCAATGTAGACATTGAATTATTAGTGTTTCTACTAAATCCATGTGGTGTGTGGACCTCAGATAATGCACATTACATATATTCATTTTTGTGTATATAGAATTAAAGTTACCATTTGATAAAATTGTGAAGTTCACTACTCCTTTCCATTTTCTTTCTTATCCTTCTCTCTCAGCAAAAAAAAAAAAGGGGCGGGGAGCGTGTCTGTGCATTCATTGACCCATATTCTTCTGTACAAAATACGTTCTCCTTTCCTCAGTCTTATATTTGGGACCAAGCCTAACAAGTGTATCTGTCCTAAGTTCTGGATCATCTCTGGGTTGTTTTTTGCTAAGGTGTTTGCCTTGAGGAAAGCAGCATGTCACACTGTGAGTAGGCAACATGACATGTGACCAGCCAACCAAACCTTATGGAATAAAAATCCCTAACTCATCACCTCATGTCCAGCCAGAAGGCAACTAAATCTTCCTCTGGACTCAGTACATCCCAAGCTCTCCCATTCAGAAAGACCCTACTCTTTTTTCCTCCTGCTTTCCTGTCATAGTCTTTGATTTTTTTTTTCCTTTTGTCCTTTTAGTTACTTCGTTTTCAAAGCCAAGAATTTATTTCTCCCTCAGAAGCAGTATACCTACCTACTTTTCTTTTCCACAAAGAGTGGAGCCTGTCCTGCCTAAGCCTCCCTACTCCTGTACAGCAGGTATTCATTAAGCCATGCTTCTTGGGAAGATTGGCTACAGCACAGGACTCTTCTGACCTTGTCAGATTTTTAAACATGACCATTGTCTCTACACAGTGACACAGAAAACTGTACACATATCTGGTATCCGAAACTAGAGGAAAAGTCAGAAACTAGATTTGAATACATGATCATTACTAATTACATCCATTTAAGCATGAGCTATTTATTTTTAGGCCTAATTACTTTTACATAAGTGATTAACTTTTTTGTAAATTGATTTGATTTTAGTAAACTCTTCTTATCTGCCAAGCTTCTATAACATATTCTTTGCATGAAACTACATTGGGGGGGTACTGGGGATCGAACTCGGGTCCTTGAGATTATGAGGCAGGTGGTGGCACCACTGAACTAAATCCCTGGCTAAACTGCATTTTTTAAAAAAGTATAGGCAACATACTGATAACTCAGAGCTTGTAAGGGCAGTCATACAGTATTTTAAATGTTTACTTGTCCTAGTCTATAAGTTGCTGAAACTATTTTCAGTTTACCTCTTTCTAAACACCAAAGTAAGACACTTACAAGAAAAACTAGAAAGAAAAAAGGAAACTCCTGAAGCTAAAATGGTCCATAATCATAAAAGGAAAAATCGCTTCTCTCTGGTTTCTAATCATTTCAATATATGCAGTTGCTTCAGTGGCCTCTTTACCTTGCAAACTGAGACAGCAGGCCATGGGGCCTTGTTCTGGTGCATGTATGTTTGGGTGCACAGCAAACAAACCACCTAACATACATTTCAGGGAGTGAATAGTTCCACACAAGTCCTTAGAGCCCAGTTTATGAACCCTTGCCCTAATATGATGGTGACTTTTAAGCTTGCAGGCCAGCTTTTAAACTGCTCATTGAGGTGCCCTTTAAAGTTAATGTTTTAAAGTGAATAGTCTATCGTACTCCTTGGCCTCTTCCCGTTACACACACCCCCTCCCCAAATAACCTGGTCATCTTTGCTCATTTCCTTTATTAACAGAAAGTGTTTACATGGCTTTGAGGCTAAAAAGTCGAACCTTTCTCTCCAGCCCTTGCTCACATCCAGTCAGCCATTAAAACTAGCTTATTTCAAAAACAGCCTTCTATGGGGGCCGGGGATTTAGCTCAGCGATTCGGTGGCCCACCTTGCAAGCGCAAGGACCCGAGTTCAATCCCCGGTACCACCCCCAAAAAAAGAAACCAAAAACAGCTTTCTGTATCTGATGCTCACAGTTATATTCTGCAACAGAATCCAAGCCTCCATTTTCTCTTTGAATTAGCTATTCCAATTTTTTCTAGCTGGCTTCCTCTTACCTGTTCTCTATTGTTCTCTATACTGATGAGAGTTATCTTTCTAATAACTCAGTCTGAAAAATGGCTGCATCCCCCCATTCTTTTTTTTTTTTTTTTTTTTGGTGCCAGGGATTGAACTCTGGACCTTGCGCTTGTGAGGCAGGTGGCAGCGGCACCACTGAGCTAAGTCCCCGGCCCCCTGCATCACACCATTCTTAAAGGTCCCTGCCATTCTTCAGAGCCAGCTTCTTTAGTCTGACCTCACCTGCTATTCACCTTCCCTTCTCCATACTTCCCCGCTGCATTTGCTCATCCTTTTCCTCAAAATCTCCTTGCCACACAGTCTTCTGGAATCCTCTAGACCTAGCTTAGATGTTATCTCCTCTGTGAAGCATTTCTAGCTACTCTCAGGAAAGTTGATTGCTCTCCTTTTCAGTGGTTCCACAACATTGTAACTTAGTTACAGCACATAGGGATCTCATGCTTTTATCCACCTGCTTACCATGCGGGTAAGTCTGCTTTGTGTCTACAGGATGCCTGTCATACCAGAAATACTCGGGATACAGGATATGCTTGTATGGGAATAAATGTGGTCTTTTACCAGCTCAATTTGGAATTTGGCTTTTCATCTTAAGAAACTTTTAAGTTGTATGAAATGTGCATTTTTAAGCAAGGTAAATAATCCTGCTTGGAAGTAAAATACTGAGTAGTCTTGAATGTTTAATGTAGAAATCAAAATTACTCTCTTCTTTCTTTTGTAGTTAATAGCCGAGTTAAAATTTTCTTTCCTTCCCTTTCCTTTAGTATTGGAGGCAGGTGTACTTGATCACAGTGCTTGCTATGATCCTTGCAGTGTTCTTTGCACAGATCCATCCCAGTTACCTCACACAGCAATGGCAGAGGCTCCGTTCCATCATCTTTTGTTCTGTTTCGGGCTATGGAGTGATCCCTACTCTTCACTGGGTTTGGCTCAATGGAGGAATTGGTGCTCCTATTGTACAGGTAGGGGAGTGTGTTTATCTCAGGGAAAGTGGTATAACCACTTTAACCAGGCCAACTGGATGGGCTTGTGTCCTATGAGGACATATTTTTCATTGTATATTAACACCATAATGTTCACAGCTATATAATAAACATACCTTTCAAAAGTAAAGGTAAAGTGTCAACTACTGCTTCTTTCTGAATTTCTTTCTGTGAAATAAAACATTAATTCTCTAATAATATAATAGTTAAGTACTTAAGTCTTTACCTGTGAAGGAGAACTTTAAAGTTTCTAATTTGGTCTGCTAGGTCAGTGAAAATGCCAGTGGATATAACCAAAATATAGAACTAGGAGTATGGGGTGACGGGGAGCATGGGGAGTTGAAAAGGATTTTTTTATAGGACCTATTGAGTTTGAAGTAAATCCAGTATAGGATGTAAAAGTAGGCAAGGGGTCTGGAATTAAACAACAACTTGAGACTTGTGATAAAGATTTGGAAATATTATCATACTGGAAGGTGGGGCCAGGGAAGCATATTCAGCCTACTAAAAGCTGTAACTGAGAAACACAGAACTATTAAAGTCAGGTGTTATGGGAGAACAGTTGATGTGCACTAGGAACCCAGTATTTGTGAGAAGAGAATTAGAAATACATTTTTAGAGATCCTCATAAAAGTGTGCTAGAGAGTAAATTTGAAAATTTTTTTTTCAGCTTTAATTGAGTTTATTGGTACATTTTAGGGATACAGTACAGTTACATTTATTGTTGGGGTCTTGTACCTCTACATGACAAGTCTTGATTCTCATTTTTTCCCCTTACCTCTGTTTTTAACATAAGTAAATATGCTAAGAAAGCTGGCAGAAATCAGCTACATTTTTTCCAAAGAGCAGAAATCACCTAAACTTATTATTGCTTGCCCTGGGACTCTTGTCTGAACTGCACGATTTAAAAAGCAGGTTTTATTCCAAAAGAATCAGGTATTAAAAGAGGAGAGACTATTAGTAGGCTCACATTCACCTGCATGAAGTTGGCAACAGCATGGTGAAAAGACCATGTATGCCAATGATAACAAAGGTCATTCCATCATGGTGGGCTGGGTTATACAATCTGGCTCATTTGAGAACAAAGGGGGTGTTTTCTTCATAAGATTAGAAAATTGAGAGAAAGGTGAGATGGTGGTGATGAAGGAGGTAAGTGATTTCTGCTGTCTGGGAAAGCATCCCTTTTTGGCAATTTTGATTCCCTGAGTATAAGTAAAGTAAACAGAATGGGACCCTGAAACCTTAAATTTAATTCTGACCAGAAGTGAATAACTGGTTGTTGACATAAAGGTGATTAAAATTTTGAGTATGGCGAATATATCCTTTTTAAGCCTGTAATGACAAAAGGACAAAATCTGTTTAAGTCAGTAGATATAGAGAAATTTAGAAAAAAATAGGCTATTTCTGTGTTCAAAAAATCTTAAAATAGAAATATGGCACAGGAAAACAGTGGTTCTCAAAGATGAAATTCTGATACAAGCACAGATTCTAATGAGGAAGCAAAGGGAAACTTCAGAGAAGTTTTCTAATTTGTGATTTTTCAAAATAGGAGAGGCTGTCGTCAAAGATGAAAAGTTTTTTCTGGATTAATGCAGAGAGGTGAGCGAAGTTATATTCTAGACCAGTGATGGTGAACCTTTTAGAGACGAGTGCCCAAACTGCAACCCAAAACCCATGTATTTATCACCAAGTGTCAACATTGCAATTAAAACAATACTGAGGTTTTAGTTTAGGGGGGAAAAAAAAACCTCATACATTAACATCTTTTGTCTCAAAACAGCACAATGTGCCTAGGTTCATCACCACTGTTCTAGAATGTTTGAGAAATCTGAAGTTGATTAATCTGAGGAATATAGGATTTAAAGAGAGCTATGATTATTCTCATATATGTGAAGAGGTAAGAAAAATAATTGTTTTTGTTTCTTAAATGAAGCCTTGGTAAATTAGGTTTATGGCCAGAATTAGAAACAGTACATTTAAATTATAACTGGCTGATTTTCTCAGGACACAGAAAAACTTCACTAGCAGAGCATTAGCAGTAAGATGGAGAGCTGCATATAATAGGGCTCAAGAAGACCATCTGTCTTGGGTACTGGAGAGAAATTCTGTCTTGAGCAGAAATGTTTAAGTCTTTCTTGGCCATAAGTCAAGTCCTCTGTGTTTAATCTCTTTGCTTGCTTCTGTGGTAGTTGTTCCGATATGCATTCTACCCTACCTATACTGTGGAGGAGTTGAATACCTTTAGGACCCTCCACAGTGCTAAATTTCTAGCTCCTGTGTTCCATTCTTAGGAAATGAGAGCAAAGCTTGGGTTACTGAAGTCTATCCACATTTAACAATTTTTAACTCCACCATTATACTCATAATAAATTGGGAATTCAGTAACAGTAGGAAAACCTGTTTTATATATATCTGTGTTTTGCTTTTAGGATTTTGCACCTCGTGTAATTGTGATGTATGTGATTGCTCTTCTTGCTTTCCTATTCTACATTTCCAAAGTTCCAGAACGGTACTTTCCAGGTGAGTATGTCTTACAGTGGTTTTGTAATTTTATTCCAAAATGTATGCTTGAAGTAAATCCCTCAGAGAATCAAAACTTAGATTTGTTTTTTTTCAGTATATTTGATTATAGAATGATTCTCCTATTGTCAAATATTATCTAAAACTTTAGCTTTTAAAGGACTTTCACAAACTTTTCCTTTCATCCTCTCAGTGGAAGAGAAGGGGTATCATGAAACAGTAGTTCCCTCTCTTATCTGCAGTTTCCCTTCTGCTTCCTGCACTGCAGCCAAGAAAAAAATTGAGTCTTCTCATTCCCAAGATATTCACAAACTAGTTACTAAAGAGGATAGATTTCTGTCCCCTTCAGTACAAAGGATAAAATTTCTGATGAAAAATAGTGAAAAGGACAGCCGGTTAGAGTGAACATTCTTTGTACACAACATGTATTTGCTTCATTTGACGTGGTAGATCCAGAGTCAGTCCACCTGGGATGAGTAGTGAGTAGTAAGCTGCATGAGCTAAGTTCCTTAAACCCTCTCCGCTCCATCTACTATGTGTCTCAGTCAGTTTCATCATTGCTGGGCCTGGAGCCCGCAATTTAAAGGAGAAGAGGTTTATTTTGGCTCATGTTTAGAAATGTCAGTCCTTAAATGGTGAGCTGATTCCAGGCAGAGTGGTGTGGGCATGTCTAGGCAGAGGGAAACTGCTCACCTCTTGGCATACAGGAAGCAGAGCGAGTGAAGAGAGGAGCTGAGGAAGGCCACACCCCCATTCATCCACCCCCTCCAGTCAGACCCCACCTGCTAACAGCAAGTCAGCTACGAGCCCCCATGATCCAGTCACCTTTTAAAAGCCCCACCTATGAGCACATGAAACTTTGTGGGGGCATCTAAGTATAAATTCCTCATCTGAAACATGGAGCTAATACATAAAACAGTATAGTTCCTAGCAGGTAGTGAACATTCAGTGTTACCAATTACTATTACATTGATGTCCTTCAATTTGGTCTTTAAGTGTAAAATGTAGCTTAGTAAGGGGCAGAATTACAGAGATCCAAGAAAGCTTTATTTTGACTCAAAAATAACAGTAAGTACATAAAAAGGGATCTTTCAATTTGCAGGACCGAAAGGGAACAGTTTAAATCCAAGCTGCAGACTCGTCCCCCCTGCTTCCTGGGTTATGGATCACTTGCACAGGGATTAGTGATGGGATTACACCACGCCTGGAGTGTGGGGAAAGGAGAATGGATCTTTAAGCATTCCTCCCTGCTAGATTTTCACCACTGAGCTTTAAATAAGAAAGGGAATATGGAACCTGAGTATATACACATTACAATTCAGGACATGTCCTTGTATTAAAAAGCACCCGTTTGCCAGGCAGGGCCAGAGTTTTCCTCATAGTTTTCTGGGAAAATACATTTTTTGTATCACTTTATTAGCAATTCTTTAAAGAATTTTGATTCTTCATCTCAGACAAGTAGAAAATTGAACCTGAAAATACACTATGTGATTATGGCCATAGTTTTTTTAGGCCTTAAAATATTCCGATGAAAGGCTAAGAATTGTCTACTATAAGACACCTATAAAGTTCAAATGTTAAGTAACCCAGCTTTCTTCCAAAATGAGCTTGACATGAGAGTGTATTCCATGTGGCTGTGGGGCTGAGTTGGGTACCTGAGAGTGTTATGATGTGGAGACCATAAAAACTGAAGTCTTTCCGGTTGAAAGTGATAGCCTCACATGTTCAGGGGTAAGTGCCTTCGCCCATATATTAGAGAAATGTGAGCCATACAGACAGTGGAGTACTGGTAAATTAAAAATTAATCCTATTAAAATAAATCCAGCTAACGTAAAAATCTTTTAAAATACATAAACACCACAGTAGTGTCCAATGGTCCCAAGGATCTCCAAGGTTTACATGGATAGAACTAAATAAATCTCTCATACTTGTATTATAAAACAATCCATTTTCTTTATAATCGTCTGTATGGTTTTATAGTTTTCACTGGGAGTCAAAGGCGGCCATGGCACCAAAAAAAAAGAGAAAGAGGAAAAAAAAAAAGACCATGAGGATTTATTAGTTTAAAATCTCTGTTCTGTACTAAGCATTATTCTTGGTAAGAAAAAAAAAAGACAGGAAGTTAAAAAAGTTTACATTGCACTACCATAGAAGCACCAAGAGTAAGAAAAAGTTTACACTTAATTTAACACCTCTGTATTTGTTGGTTACTGAGAAAAATTAAGATGCTTCCAACATGTTAATTACCTGATCTCCTTGGAATTTAACATACAACCAACCACAAAGAGAAACAATTGTTTTCTGAAGTTGTATATAAACTAATTGGCCTTAGTTAAGTAGCCCATTAGTAATTGCAGAATTTTGCAATTTATTCCATTAGTCAGAGGGTGTAAAATTCAGGTCTGAGCTTTTTCTTCTTGAACATCAGTATAAAACAAAAAAGTACTCCTGGCAGATCGATACCTAAACACAACAGTGCACCTGCTTCTCAAAGATTCAGACTAAATCACTCATTTCTAACACTAGTTTCTTTTGCCTCTGTCATGTAATTATTTTTTTCCTATTCCACCTGATGTAAGACATGGAAGGCAAAAGGTCAGATTCCTAAAATTAAACAAGTTAGATTTTGAGCACACACATGGAATAGCATTCCCGAAATCCACCTGTGTACCTAATGAATAAAACCTTAAAATTAGACTCAAATGAGTTCATCCTTTTAAACAAAAAAAATTTCAGTCTGAATTTTCAGTGAGTCTCTAGGAACTGACTGAGACTCCCACAGTTTTTTTGCTGCTAAACCATATTCCCAAGGCCAGCAGTAGAAATATTGTCTTTTAATAGCAAAATAGTGCAATCAAAATTAATTTTTTTCTGCTTTCCCTTACAGGACAACTAAACTACCTCGGGTCAAGCCACCAAATATGGCACATCCTTGCAGTAGTGATGTTGTATTGGTGGCATCAGTCAACAGTGTATGTCATGCAGTACAGACATAGCAAACCTTGTCCTGACTATGTTTCACGTTTGTGAATTCAGGTATGGCAACCTGATGAATTCAGTTGTTAAGCAATATATGATGGGGAGTTATATACCCCACTGTTTCTAAGCTTCCCATTAGTTTTTGCTGTTTCCTCTTGTTTAGTGTATCATAGGTACTGCTTTATAAAAGTGGAAAAATATACTTGGAAATCTGTAGTAATAACTGCTTTACAGACCTTAAAAACTACTAATTTGCTGCTTGTACAGAAAGTGAAGATTAGTTGGCAATCATATCATAAGGACATCTGAATAGCAACATTGAATGTGAAACAAGCATGGAAAATAGAATTCATTTTACTTAACACTGACTTAATTTTCTTAGGGCTCATCTCCATTGGAAATGGAGTCATCCTGATTGCTTTAATAGAAGGTATTTTCATTAAATAGTCAAATTTTAAGTGCCTAGAAAGGTGAGCGTTGTTTCATCCTACACTTAATACAAGCTAAGATAGTGATTTTTGAATAATCACAGCCTTTACATATTTTGTGAGAAACTGGCAGTAAAGATATTATTTCCTTTAGCTAAAGATTCTGCTCTCCTTAGAACTACTGGATTTAGCTTACCAGAACAGAGACTTCAAACTTCTCCTTTGAGAGAGGTGTTGGGAACAGAACACGCATTGTTATTTATCTGATAATAGTCACATTGAAAACTAAGGACATAACAAAATGACAAATTCTGTAGTCCAACAACCAAAAGCCACCTAAGCCTTTTAGTTCTATTTATTATTTGATTCCATGTAATAACTGAGTTCTTAAGAGTGAATTGCAGAAGATTTTGATGTAGAATTCCAAAAGAGCTTTCACCTTTCTAAAGCTGCAATTCATGATGATGGGGATTTCCAGCTACATGGGTGCTACTCTTACGGCCATAGAATCTCGATGGCCCTTTCTTGACCCTGAAGCCTTAGAACAAACTCATGCGGATGCCCCATTTGATGAGATTCCTCACCATTGCTCTGGGTTTCTGTTTATGGATGTATTAGCATTACACTAAGAACTTAAGAGTATTCATAAATACTGAAGTTTGGACCCAAAGCATTAAACTTGCCCTTTATTGTTCATATTTATAAAATACATGGTACTGCCCTATCATACGTAGTCAAATGTTTTGTTTTTTTCATGTGCATAAATAAAATCCCTTAAGGCAGACCTTCCTAACTTTATGTTATTGGAATATACCAAAGTTTCTTAATTAGTTGACAGGTTGTTCTGTTTGCCATTCTATTTTCTGAACAGTAGCATTAACTCTCAGAAGAAATGCTGATGGATGTTGACGCTTATTCCAGAAATGCCTTTTGTGCATCCAGTATTAGGAAAATAACTTTAATGTGCCTCAGTTTATACATCTGTAAAATGTGTTTCTTTCCATTATATGTTTTGGGGATATAAATTCCCCATACTGGCATTTCCTGGAGGCTGTTAGAAAATAACCCCTTTTAGTAGGTTCAGTAAGAGTTTGGTCTGGCATACCCTTTGTGATCATGGAATGCTACTTTGAAAATGGGTACTGTATCTCATAAGGCCACAAATTCAATACGTATGTTAAATGTTAGAACATTTTGGTGGGACAGTGGGACATATTTCCCTAAAAGACCTTTACTGGCTTACATGACATTGCTTTTAAATAGACACTGTCATTTTGGCCAAACAAAATACACTAAGTACGTAATTAATATATCAAGTTGAAATGAGGGGCAAGTAACTTTAGGTTTGGAACCATTTTTAAAGTCTTTTCAAAATGGAAAGAAAAAAGTCTTGAGTTTTACTTTTGTTTCAATTTTTTAAATTCCTGTTTGTTTTTTGTCACAGTATATATGTAATACCTTGCCACCTGAGTTAATGTGTAAAAAGAGCATACAGTCTTTTAAAATTATTTCTTTGAATTTAAAAGGAAAGCATATAGCTCTAACTCTAGGCAGAATTATTCTACATAAACATTTCAATGTTTTATGAAAATGTTAAATATTATAAGAAAGCCACCTTCTTTCATTTTTATCTTCACAATGATGTATTATTATAAAGTAAGGAATGAAAATGACTGTGGATTGCCCTCAACTCTAAACACTTCTGTTTGTCAGCTTTTATCTTAACACCTACTGTGTGCACAGCACTACTGGTAACATTTTGAAGACATTATTAACATTAAAGAATGTTTAAAGTTGCCTACAAATCTGAGCCTTGTAATAATGTATATTATCAAGTTATTAAAATAAGATTAAAAGTATACTACCCAGCTACAGTACTAAAAAAGACTATAGTTTTAATTTTACATATCTATAAATAAAGTCTTTATCTACAGACTTTACATTTTTTAATTATCTATGGCTGTTTTAAATGGTTGCAATTTTTAGGGTTAAACAATTCTTTTTAGGTACATGAAGCCATTTTTGAATAACAAGATAGTGCTTGTCTTTTTATTACACTGAGTGCAATTCAGTAAGCTGCATGACAAAATACGTATTATATAAATAAACTGAGTTTACTAAGCGTATGAAGTGCTGTTTGTCATTCTTTACAGTACATAACAGCTTTAAAAATCATATTTTAGAATCAGGAATGAAGAATCAGGGAATATCAGTCACATCTTACAGCATCACTCCTGGACAGAGTAACCAATTGGAAGATTGTGATTGACTGGCAGAGAGGTGTACAACTCTACATTTGGCAGGTACCTATTACAGATATACTTTGCCCTGTATTAAATGTCAAGGGGCAAGCCAGCACTCCCGAACTACCACTTGTTGTGATGACTAGGTCCATATCCACCCCAAATCATTTGTAGTAATTCTGCCCCTACAGAGGGGAAGAATCAGCTCAGTCACTGTGTTTATACTGAAAAGGAGTGTAGATGCTCTGTACCACACTTCTGCAGGGTAATGGGATAATGATCCAGAGCTAAATTACTTTTAAAGGTTTTCTTTTCCTAAGGGAGAATTAGCATTAGACCTTCTTATGAAGTCCCTATATCCTCAATAGTAAAAATGAACAGCCACTTGAACTGGCCTTGAACTGCTCTACTACCTAGTGTCATATAATCTGATTTCTGCCAGCAGACTGAGCTTTTTAAAGTATGCAACAAATAAAATTTCAAAAGCTTATGCCTTCAATATGAGAATACTTTTTTTTTGTTTTGTTTTGTTTTTGTTTTTTTTTGAGACAGGGTCTCACTATGTAGTGAGACTGACCTGGCACTCAACTATGTAGCTCAGGCTGGTCTCAAACTCACAGCGATCCTCCTGCCTCAGCCTCCCGAGTGCTGGGATTATAATATGAGAATACTCTACATGCTACATACAGTGTTTAAGTTGGGCTTCCTTCAAAAAAATTATTGAAAACATTCAACATATATTTTTCTCTAATGTGTTTAACTGAATTTTAGCAATGATGCATTGCAAATTGTTCTTTTATATAACTCTCCTAGTTATTTCACATTTCGCTGCTTTGTACTATTCACTAAAAAGATACAAGGCCCCATGTTTTTCAAGTAACTTTAGGTAAATGTTACTGCAAAAAAGAAAAAGCCCATTCATAACAAATAAGATGAACATTTCTTGTGGCTGAGAAACTGTCACAAGCCCACCAATCTAGACTCATTTGTGGAAAGATACATTGTAAGATGATGATAAGGCAACTTGACACCACACTTCATCCATCAATCCAATAAATGGGGTTTTCTCTCAATGTGCCAATTGTGTCTTTTCTGACACAGTCAAGGACTTACTTAACCAAAAAAATTTTAACAGCTGTATATGTTAACATTCTTTTAGAGTTTTAAATTTAAATTACAAATAATACAAAAACTATGCCCAACAAGTTATTTAAAAGGCACTTTGAGATCGTTTTGCCTATCACTATATCCTAACAGTTGTGATTAACTGTTCTACTAAGTGTTCTGACTGTAAAAAAATTCAGGTCAAAATGGGTTTTCTTTCTTAAATCCTAAACTATAAGCTCCTTAACAACAGGAATCCAACTTATTTTGTAATCCACTAGCTGGCACATGCTTAATGTCTGATACAAATGAAAGAACTAAATAGAAGTTTATATCCAAAACTTTAATAAGACAAATAATGAAACACTCCAAAGTCACTGATTATAAAGAATAGGCAATCCATTGGGGATTTATTGCATTTAAAGAAAGCAGATTATTAAAACAAGTATGATAAATACAGTAAGAAAATAACTTTAAATTTCAAACAAAACAGTGAATCAGGGACAGAATTCAAGAATAAGCAATGTAAAGACAGAGTAATAAAATTAGTGCTTAATTAGATTTGGGGGAAAAGCAACTGACTATCTCATAACAGTTTCCCAGATATATTCTAATACTGAAGATACTTTAGCAAGTACATTTTACAACAATTAGAAATATAATAAAGATGTAAATCTAGTTTATTTAAAAGTAAAATTATTTGCTTAGTGGTACATAAAAGGCTTCAGAAATTCAAGTTTAACCAAAAAAAGGAAGTATAATCAAAGAAAGTGCACTTAAAGCTGTTTGCCAGCAATTAAAAAGTAGCTTCTATATTGCTATTAGATGACTTTGCAATCACAAAATGAGAACAGTAATAAAAATTCCCTTTCAACAGTAGCACTAAAAGTTTTAAAACAAAAATAACCCCAAAATGATGACTCTGCATTTCTCATTATCTACTTTTCTTTTTTTAGTGGCTTTTGTAAACCCTCACTATGAGTAAATGTTCTTTTAGATATGATTGTAGTTGCAATTCCTTTTTTAAAAAATTCACATTAACTCTACAGTAGAGCGATGTGATGTGTGTGTGTATATATTTTAATCTTAATAGAGAAAACACCACTGAGTATAAAAGTTTTCAAATAAACTATCATTTGTGTTATTCTCACAGTAGATATGTCATCTCATTCTCACAGTAGACTGTCAATAATTGGACCTAAAAGGGTAAGACTAGTTTTGCCAAAAGGGAAAAAAGTCACATTCTACGTATGTTAAGACAAATGTACCCAAACTCCTCAGAACTAGTGCTATTCATATACTTGTACCTTCTAACATTGCTTATGTGAAGTACCAAAATCTAAAAACAAAAAAATCCAGCCGTCTACCCATAGTAAGAGAATTGCTCTGCCTGATAACACCAGCACAGAAGACTGGGTCCATCTTAGTCTCTTCCACCAGCACAATGAGAACAGTCACCTGCTAACAGATGATACACAGGGTTTATCCAAAGATTCATCTATCTGCAAGTCCAGATGATATAACTATGCCCCACAGACACATAACCAGGGACAGCAGAGGGTTGCAATTCTGAGTAAATATTCTAATGAGTTACATTTTCATCCTTCTCCACCTATGATATATACCAAAAAATATTTGTCTTAATGCATAATGTACTCAGTTGCGCAAAGCTGATCTTTTTAATACTAACATTTTATTGAGGTGATATTAGAATAGTTAAGCAAATGGTCCACTTTTTAAAAGATGATTCAAAATCAAGCACTATTAAAGCTGTTAGGAAACAACTTTGGCCTCAGATATTTGTTAGCTTCATGTTACTTCCCTTAGTGATGTTCAAGTATAACAGGTTTATAGTTGGGACTACCATATACCCTTAGGCACAGGGCACACCCAAATAGGAAAAAAACAGTCCCCTGATAGAGGCAAACTTTTGCTGAGTGCAGTGTGCCAGGTACTATGTTAAATGCTGTCGCTTGTCTAGGGAGCTTCTAAGGAAATCACAGCCATCAGCTGTGATATTTTGGCCATGGTGGGGGAAGCGGTGAATGAAAATGGAAAGTATAAATCTCCACTCTGGGGAAATGCCTCAAAACAAAGGAATTTTCCCATTTCTATCCTATTGAACAATCTAAGATCTTTCCTCTGAGCAGTAATCTCAAAAGACGAAAGTGAATATTTTAAACTGTGGCAGAGTTGTTTCCCTAGAATTTACCCAGCACTGTAAGCCAAAGGGTCCTATACTTACCAGTCTGAATTATTTAAAATTATTCAGTGTATTGAAAAGCAAGTAAAACTAGGAATTTCTTGGGTTTATACCCCCAAGGAGACCACATTCGTTCATCTGCTACCCTTCTAAATGACAAACTTGTGAGGTCTAGCAGAGACCAAGGATCGTAATAGTCAAAGAAGCATATTGTGTACACATTAACCAACAGGTTTCCATTTTAAAAACTTGTTTGATACAAACCTACTGTAGTTTATGAATTTACTCTTCACTTGTAAAAGAAAGTGTCACTTGAATCTCTTTTTAAAGAACATCTACCTCAACATATGCATTAGCAGTATTAACCTGAGAATCAGGAAGGAAAAAAAAAAAGGTGCAAACATAATATTCGCCTTTGGCACAAGGACAACTGGTACAGTCCAGCTCTAAAAGCACAACTGTGAGTAATAATGTACTGCTTGGTCACTGGCCTCTGCTACATTGTGATTCACAGATTTCTTCCCTACCCACAAATTTCTGAGTTAGCATATAGGAAAGATAAAAGAGACTAACAAAAGTTATATATACTTTGCTTCCTTCCAAGCTCAGCACTGAAAACAGACAAATAACTTATCCTACTGGAATACTATGATTAACGGATTCTACTAAGATTGCTCATAAAATACATTAATTGGTTGCAAAGAATTAATTTAAAATATAGCAATGAAGAAGTATGAGTTGAAAACTTTCCACCCTTTTTTGTAAATACCTTCTACAGTTCCAGAAACTTCCAAATGTTAAGCTGAGAGCAAAAGACAGTTAATTATAATTTAACATAAGACTCTACACAGCAAGCTTAGATACTGTGTTCACATTAATCCATGTATGTGATTACTATCATTAAATGGCTATAAAATCTCAAGTTTCTAATTAGGATTTGTGGTCAAAAAAAAA